ACTTTCTTCAAACAATATAGGGTTTTCTTTTAATTTCTGTCTAGCTTGTCTCATACTAAGTTTTTTCTGTTCCCTTCTCTTTTGCATTTGAACATTTGATTACTTTCTTTTCTTAAATTTTGGTTTTGCAATTTTTTTCCTAAAATTTGAAGAGAAAAAAAATTTTAAACATCACAGAAATTATTTAGAAAAATTGCCAATATTTACTTCTCCGATAAGAAAAAGTTAAACTTAATTGATTTTCTTTAAAAATAGAAACAAATTAACACATTTGTTCCATTTTAAAAAATATCAATTAAAAGAAAATAGTTTTTTAATTATTAAAATTGTATTATGGTTATCTAACACATTGACTGTGTCTTCTCCTCCGTGGAGGAGACAAAAACTAGTTCTTGAATTTTTCTGATTTTTAATTTTAAAGTTACAAAAATGGGGCAGTTCTTTTTGTTAAATATACTATTTTTGCAGACTAAAATTCATCTATCAAAAATAAAATAATTTTCTCTTACCGTCTTTATGATGTCCACNTAAAGATTACGTAAATTTTAAACACAATTCTGTATCATTATATTACATTTGTCAGCAATACAGTAATATCTAAATGAGTGATGAACACCATTGTAAAATAACAAAAAGTATAATGTATATTATGGTAAGTTTGTTAAACACGTAAACTATTCAACTTACTTTTACAACTAGTTTTTTCATACATAATGTTTAGAAAAATAACAACAAAAAGTAAACTTTTCATCTAAAAAATTGAATGAACAGAAATCGTTAATCACCATTGATATCCTTAAAAAAACATTGAGCTATAGTTCAAGTACCATAGAATGGGGAAAATTTTTCGAAAATAAATTGCAATGAATTCATAGCTATTTTTCATTGAGGAAAAAAAATCTTTTTATTTCACCAGGAATCCTAAGAAAAAAATATTAAAATAACTACATTTGATTTTTGAAGGTGGGAAAATGAGAAATATGGGAGGTAAAAAGATAGTTACAAAAAATGGGCTTACTTATAAGATCTCTCTGCATAAAAAGGTATGAAAATAGGTGGTTAGAATTTAATACCCTTCCTCTAACTCCTTAACGCATACAAAAATTTTACCAAGCCTATCAAGAAATTAATAGTTTGAGAAAACTAAATTTGGATAAGGATGATGTTCCACATAACTGCTGAGTTATATATATATATATATATATATGTGTATAACATTCCTTTGATTTTAAGGAGCCGTAAAATACGGCAGTTGCTACGACAATTTTGTTGGTATTGAAGAGACCAGAGAGAAATGCTCACCTGATAAAGTTAATAAGACTAATCGCCTTTTATCAAGTGGGCCTGATGAACTTTTTCAGTGCTAGTAAGTATTTCATGATTTCAAAAGAAGGACTTGAGAGAGTCAAGTAGAAAGTCTCATTCTTTCTAAAGTTTACACTTTAACATTGAATAGTTATTTGGTGATATTATCTTGAAGTTTCCGAAATTTCCCGCAGGAAATTGCACATCAGTTAGAAACCTACTGCTGGTGCAAAATTAAAACGACACATCTGCAAACATAATACGTTGCAGATGTGTCGCTTTAGTTTTGAACAAGCGATATCTTATCTCTTATTTGATAACTTTATAATTTTAACTGAAGCCGCTCCCTTTAACAAACTGAAAATGTGTTCGATCACAATGTTTTCTCATATTTAATAAAGAAAATTCCTATGTTCTTGCATTTATTTCATATATTAAAGTTCTTATTGATTTAATTATTAATTTTGAAGTTTTCTCAAACAAGTTGTTAGTTTATTGCTTAGTTATTTTAATTTTGCTTAATTTAAAAATTACTAAACTTAGTTCACATATTAAGTACAGGTATTATTGTTGTTTAGAAACGGATTTAAATTATCATGTATTTTATAAGGTGCAAGTTAAGCTATGACAGTTTTCTGATCTATATTTCTTTTTTCAAACAGTCATTTCAAACTATGTATATTTCTTTAATTTGCTGTTAGAGCAACGTTTAAAATGAAATAAATGTGCTGGCTTTTGTGAGCCATAACCAACAAATATAAAAAAGTTGCAATCCTAATTTTTGTAACCATTTATTGTAATTAACACTACAGTTAGAAGTGAAATTATTAACATAATATTTTAACACATAGTATCAAGTATCAAAACATATGCTTGACACTAGCCTGTATTCTAGCTTGCTACTTCGTCAGAAATTTTAAATTATTTTAAAGCATTTCGTTAACGTATAAAACATGATTTGCGGAAAATAAATAACGAGTTTTTGACAGGAAAAAAAAGGCGTAATCAATTTAAGATTCAATTTTGCACGTGTTTTTACACGAGCTATGAAACTTGATGTTTTATCAAGACTTAAGAAATCATGTTTTATACGTAACCTGAAATGTTTTTTTAGTAATTTAATGTAACCGCATCGTTATATTTCACATGGTTCTAATCAACTATTCTTTTGTACTTGAATATTGGAGAATATATTATTAAAGAAATAAAATCAGGTATTTCTAATTTGTTTTTATTTAAAAGCAATAAAGCAGCTTCATTAAATGCGAGAACCATGTATAAATGCAAAATCAAGCCTCTTCAGAGCGGTATTTAGTGCAAGAGAAATTACGTAAAACTGTTTCGGTTTTATCGGACTCACACGAACTATTTTTAAATCACTCTTTCATCGCATACTTACATCAATCAATATTTATTTTAATTTGAGTTAATAAAACCTGTTTTTATTAACCAGTTTAAATTCAAACTACTTTTTTATTGCATTTTAGTATTGATATCACAACTACTGTTTAATTGATAAAATGTCGAGAATATGTGGAAAAATGGCTACAGAATTAGGTCTGCATTTTCTGAATGGAATTGGATTCTGGAACGCTTTTTGTTTGGATAACAAAGAAACAGCTTTAAAAAAGATGAAAGATAACGAACTCGATTTCAGTCCTGAAACTACAGAGGACGAATTTGTGACTCTCTTTGAAGGTATGAGAACAAACATTACTTTATCTTGAATCTCGCTTTATTGTTTTGCTTCTAAAAAACCAAATTATTTTTAAATTTTTTTTTCTTTCAAAGCAATGTTTTTGAAAACATCACCTTTAATATGCGCTCACAGAGTCCCAAAATATTTACCTGCTGCGCTGATGAATTGTTTTTGCTGATTAGTTGTATTAATCGAATGATAATAAGGAATAAAGCAGAACATTATTAGCGAAAAAGTCCTGCTGCCAGTAGTAATAAGAGTTACCATGCCATTCAATGTGCCTTATTCCTTTCGGGTAAAATAACCAATTTTCAATTACGGCAGTCGCATTTAAGCTTAAAAATTGCGAATTGAATTTAGCAATAAGCGTGACCAGAGGAATAAAATAATTAGCTACTATCGTTTAGTACATCTTGTTTAGAGAATGATTTCAGCAACATTGGGGCTTCTAAATATTGTTTTTCCTCTGCGTTTCCACCTTATACAGCATATCTGACTTTTTCGGAAATACTTGAGTTGGTGATTAATTATAATTTTGTAATAATTCTGGTAATAAAGTAGAATGAGCAGCTGGCCATGTAAGAAAAAAACACTTGTCCGATTTGGCATTTTACATGTCTCCGCCATGTTGGTAGTACCATTTTCAAACCTGAATTTTACAATGCATATTTTTTTAAACTTTTTTTAATATTTTTTTTTTATTTTATAAAAAAGACATTGTTGAGAATTGAATTAAAAAATGAAAGAAATATTGATAAATTGTCGAGAATTAAATTAAAAATAAAAATATTAGGATAAATTATTGAGAAATAAGTTAAAAAAATAAAAACTTCAGTGATATATTTTTGAGAATTAGGTAAAAAAATAAAAACAATAGGGATAAATTGTCGAGAATTATGTTAAAAAAATAAAACTTCAGGGATTAATTAGCGAGAATTATATGAAAAAATAAATTCTTTAGGTATATATTATCGAAAATTGAGTTAAAAATAAAAACTTCAATAAATTGGAAAGAATTACGTTTAAAAAGAAAAACATTGGGGATAAATTGTGGAGAATTAAATTAAAGTACAAAAGCATTGGGGATGAATTGTCGAAAATTAGGTTAAAAAATAAAAACTTTAGCGATAAATTGTCGAAAGTTAAGTTAAGTTAAAAACAAAACTGACTCCCGTTGTCTAAGTGAAAGCGCTTCGCGCTCTGATGCCACAGGTCCTAGGTTTGATCCTCGAGCCGGGCAAGGTTGGTTCTTCCTTTCAGCCCTTCTGTGGGTCGAAAAATAAGTGACAAGCATGCTTGGGAACTAAACAACGGGGACTCCGCGTTCGGCTGACAGCCTGACCGGAACATCTGCTCCTGCACCCCAGAGCCCAAGGTCAAGAAAACTGAGATGGGCACAGTAGGCCTTGGCCCTCTATGGGCTGTCACGCCACTGAGTTTAGTTTAAAAACAAAACTAAATTACTTTTCACATCGTTGAAGTTAAAAACTTTTTTCTTACTTAAAAATTGTGATAATGTATTTATCATAATTCAAATAAAGTACGTAGATTAAAAAAAAAATCTAATATCCCTCACTTATTATTTGTTTACGAACATTTCTCTCTTAAAGTTTCCTGAAAAGCACGTAGAAGATATTAAAATACATCAATTTTACGAATAAAAAATGACTGATAAAATTACTGTATTGTATGATAAAGACATTTCTGGTAGAAAAAACCTTAATTTTGGTAATAAAACAAATATATACAATGTTTAAGCTATTTAACTGGTAACTTTTTCGTTCATATGGTAGCGAGTTTACCAGAAATCCTGTTTCGCAAAATTATAATTTTAATTACGACCACTTTAGAAAAAACCGCTCTAGTAAAAATTATATTAGATTTTCCCATTGAGCTATTTTACCATATTCTAGCAGTTTTGAAGATGCACTCCTTCACAGTTTTTTAAGGAAATTTTATTACTGAATCAAAATTAAAATTAAAAAGAATTACTTTCCCCCAGGTTCAAAATTATCCAATAAAATCTCATACTTTGCCCTTACTCATATTGAACAGAAATGCTCAATTGTTTAAATTTATCTTACTCAGTAATAAATGAAGGACAATTTCAATAGTTCACCACAATATTAAAATTCGCAAATGACTTTCATTGTTTTTGTAATATTCACACCCTTAATATTTTTATTTTTGTATTTCAGAAATTTCAGTCAGTTATGGATCAAACAAATATCTGTGCTTAAGTAACTATAAAAGTTTATGTCAGAATCCAGGGGATTTCTTTCATGATTTTCCAGAAAATTCTGCTAATCTGTCTACAAGATGCAAGTAAGATAAAAGATTTTTTAAATAATCATTAGTGATTTATTGAACTGCAAAAGTAATCTAAGAGAAGAGGAATGACATTGATTCCATTGTGCAATCTTAGATCATTTAGTATCTTAGAAGGCTGCAAGATTTCTGAGAAATTCTAAAATTTTCATTTTATTTTTCCAACAACTGCAATAAGAAAATAAAACGAAAAGAATTTTTTTAATTTGCTGCAGCAGAAAAAATATTCTAGAGAAAAAGCTCGTATTTTAAAGTATATATTCGATCTCACCGTTAGGAATTATCTGAGTTTTTAAGCGGAAATATAGCTTAAAATGTTTAAAACCATTGAACTTCTTTAAAACTTGCCCATTTGGCGAATTTTCAGTCTTAGAGTAAACTTACTTAAAAAAAATTTGAAAATTTTAATAAGCCCAGACAAGGTAATGTTGGAATAGTTTAGTAAAAGGCTAAATCGCAAGCATTTTTTTCTTCATAAAACCGTGGCGCATCTTCTTATTGACGTTTTGAAACATTTTCAGATCTAACATAGCGTGCGCTGGTTAAAACTAGGTAAATCTTTTAACATAATATAAATAAATTAATGTTACTAACTCAGATAAGTTATTGAAATGGCATATATTTGAAGTAAAAAAGAACTGAATTTTCAAATGGCGATAGAATTTTCAGTAAACAACCTTAATTACCGACTTTAATAACAATCATAATTACCGACCCAGGGAGTATCTGAAAAGAAATTTAGAAAATTAATTAAGAAAAATTTGTTGCTGTGTCTCTTATGGTGTAAAGGGTCTGGAACCTTTCCTTTCGAGGAATTCCTGGGGAATAGCTATACTGTATATGAGTGGTGCACGTAGTGTAAGGATATTGTTTGTAATATACTCACCTCTAAACTTTCCTAACAGGACGCTTAGACGAGATTTTTATTTCATAATTTCATTAACATTTGTTCTTCAATATATCTTGATCTCTAAGAAATAGGAAGCATTAGATGTAAGAGGCTTTAAAACAATTAAAAATATATCAGCATTGTGTTATTTTGTTCAATCAAAATTTTTAAAAATGGTTAAAAAAAAGTAATGATTTCTCGATTGGAGTAGTTAAACATGGATTTGAGACTTTATAAACAAATTTTGTAAAATGCTTCAAATCTAAATTAATATGTGGTGGTTCTGAAAGCATTTGAACAAAGGAAACATTTAGAGCAATACAATTGTAGAGTAGAATTTTTTTATATTTTTATTTTTATTTTCAGAGCTCATATAAAGTACAAAGAGTGTTTAATTGATTACGAAGAAAAATGCGGGGAGGAAATATGGGGATTGTATCCCCATGAAGATTTAGAAGCTCTGACTACATTTTGTGACGAAAATTCCGTTTTGTTCCATAGTAAGAATATTAACATTATATTCCAAGCACGATGTTTCACATATTGTCTTTTTATTTCATCTTTATTTCAGAATATTTTATAATATATTAGTTTTCCGAAAATGATCCCATCTTTTTTTGTTCCTCACTTAGAACCCATAATATTAGCTATTACTTTTTCATTCAGTCATACTTCAATGTTTAATATACTCTGTCTTAATTTCATTTTGATTTTAGAATTTTATATGATTTATTAGGTTTTGGAAAATGACCTCTTCTTTTTTTTGTTCTTATAACGCATAATATACGAATTAAAAATGAATTTTTTTCTTGAAATATTGATCCAAAAATTAAGGGATTAAAATTATCTGGCTAAGTTCTAATTCACGAAAAACTCCAAAGTTCAGTATTGAATTTTTTAAAAGTAAATTCCAGTTTACAGAAGACTCTAGACTGAAATTTTCTAAATCAATAAATTCAATTCACTAGATTCATGAGACCTAGAATGGAGTGTGACGAGGCCTTAAATTTATAAATAACTTTTTAAGTAAGCAAAAAAGAAATAAACATTACTTTTTTAATTTGCTGCAGAGATTGAGCGTTCGCCTTCCAGTGAGATGACCCTGGTTCGAATTCCAGTGACGACTTGTTCTGCTCATATTTTACTGTTTTTGCGGGGCTATAAGTTCAAGTATTATCTAATTAAAGATATTCATAAACATGTTATGCAAGCAAATGTAGATATAACTCCTCTTAGAGATAAAAAATATATATTTAAATAAACAGACAGCAGACTTAAAGAAAAATTATTTATTATTAAGCAATAGAATTTCATATTCATGAAACCTGTAAAGGGTCATGAGTTCAATTATCATGCAAGATAAAAATTAAAACAATTTTATCTTTACATGGATGTGAAAAATTGAATTTATCCAAATGAATGCTTTACATGCATTTGAATAAAAATTTTGTAACTTGATATTTTAATGTTGCAGCATTATCAGATAAAGGGAAATGTTTCAATAAATTTTATCAGAATTATGAAAAAGGTGCTAAAGACAGAGTTTTCAATTGTTTTGATGAAATAAAAAATAAAGAGATGTATGAACTGGAATACAATCAACGATATCCGGAAGATTATAATGTTAGGTCCTGTTTGTAAGTATATACTCACTCATTTTTAAAAAAATCATAATGCTTGTTAAATTATGAGTTAACGTTCATTATTTCATGAACTAATACAGAATAATCATTCACTGTTTCTTTAACATCTACTATTATACGAGACGCAGAGCAGTCATTCTCGCATATTCTGATTAACTTTTGCATGTGAAGTATGGATAATTTGGATACATATTGAATTAGAATACAATGAATTAGGATATTGCAACACATGAATGTACCTAAGTAACTCGAATAAAGCTCAAATAGGAGCAGAAAATCAGAAATACTGTAATTTCTTTTCTATAAACAGGATCCTTTCTCAAAATCAGAGGAAAGAATGAGCCAACATCTCCTACTATACGAAACACAGAATAGTCATTCTTGCATATTCTGGCATAACATTTATTTTTGCAAATGAAATTAGGATAATTAGGGTATATAGTGATTGAATTAGAGTATAATGGATTACGATATCACTATACATGGATATCTCTACACAATACGAATAAAACTCAAATAGACGCACAAAATCAGACTTACTTTAGTTTCGTTTCTAAAAAGAAGAACCTTCCTCCGTGGCGTATCACAGAATAAGTCAACGTCTTTTATCTTATGAATCAATGTCTATTATGCTATGAGCCAACTTCTCTTTTTGTACGAACTGAGATTTGTTCTTTTGTGTTCGACACTCAGAAAATTTCTTGTTTATAGAATCGGAACTTTATAATGTATATCATCCACTACTTAGTACGTCTGTTAGTGCGTCATTATGTCTGCTTTATTTTCGCTATTTTTTATTTACTTTTTCATGATGAATTTTTACTGCTAGTATCAAAATAGAACATTACTTTGTACGTCTTTTTATTTTTTAGTTATGATCTCCAGTTGGCGAAGTGCCTAACTGACGTAATATCAGAAGACTGTGGAGAAACAGCAAAAGAATTAACGTCGCAAGCCTTAAAAATCAACAAATTTAAGCACACATTGTGCAGAGATTTGCCAAAAGAAGCTGCTTTCTTTATGAATGAATTAGATTTCAGTTAGGAAACAGAATGTTCACTTGAGAATTTCATTAAAAGTCTTTAGAACGAAACCTAAATAGTTTAAGATGGAAAAAATTCCTTAACATCAAATTAATAAAAAATATTTTTTGTTCTAATTTTTATAACTGCAGTTTAGAAACTGTACAATAAAAATTAAGTTACTGAAACTATAGTTTTTGTTCTATTTTATCAATATAAATTTCTTTTTCTAATGTTTGTCTTAGCGTCCTTTATTAAGTTTCATTTAATTTTTTAGTGTAACTTTTTAGTTTTATCCCTCAGGTAATAAAAATTGTCACACCGATATTTTAAACCATGCAAAAAGACTAAGGAAATTAAAACTTTTTAGCTTGGTAGAGAACAAAATTTTAAAACCATGTACATAATTGTAAAATTAACATTGATTTCTGAGATAACTTTCACAGATAATTTTCTTTTAACATTTGATAAATATAAACAGAAGAACTGGTTATTCTTTTAATAGCAATTAATGCATTTAATGGGATATCTGCAAGTGATGTAGTGTGAGTATCTTGATCCTGATTGGTTGTTGAAACATGGATTTTCTTTGAGTTAGCAACTGTTCTTTCCATTCTATTTCGAATAAACCAAGCGTTTCAAGTATAAGTTCTCGTAGGTGACCTAGTATATATTTCGCACATTTACCAAAGGTCTAGTCATACTAGGTCTAGTTAAGTGCCACTGACCGGTATACCTTTGCCCGGTATCCCCCACACTGATATTTTTTTAAGGTCAAGTGCCATTGCCCGGTATACATTTGCCCGGTATACCCTATACTGATGTTTTTTTAAGGTCAAGTGCCACTGCCCTGTGTACATTTGCCTGATACTCCATACACTGATGTTTCTTCTAATCTATCGTCAGTAAGCATTAAAATATCGTATAAATGTAATTATATCCATGAATAAATTAATATCAAATCGGATGTAATAAATATTTTGGACATTCACCAAAGCGACTATAAGATTGTCAACATTCACCAGTGAAAGTCAACAACATCTGATTTTGGTCATTCACAGTAACATGCACATCATTTACATAATAACCTCATCAGGACGTTTATTTCATACTTTTCCTAAATAACATCCGGCATTATGTATAATGCCTAGGGAAAGCATGTAATACTTCTCATATTTCATACTTTGCATACAAACGTCAGGCATTATGTATAAGGCCTAGGCACTATATATAATGACGGCGTTTCATATTTTGCCGCTAACATATATACAATATATCTCAGTTACATGCAGTAAAAAATTCTGGTAGATGTGCTGAACTGCATGTTAATGACATATCTGGTAAAATGGCCATCGTTCGGGCAATAAGAACCGAAATATTTAAGCCATTCATTTGGCAATTTTTTCGTTCATATGGTAACAAGTTGCCAGAAATTCTAATTTTCAAAATTATAGTTCTTTTTACTAAGCATTTACTATAAAATACAATTCTGAAAAGTAAATTTAACTCAATGAATGGTTTTTAGACCATAGTCTAAGATATGATAAAGTTACCAAATTTTACTACATTTACTAATTTTTATCACATATTACAAGAGCATATTTTGTTTTCTAATTCTACCAAAATCATTAATTAAACGCTTCGATAAAAATTACTTAGTGATTTGTGTTCCTGAGAGTCAGAAACATGATAAATTTTACCATATTGGGGAAGCTTAGTTCATACGTGTTTCTCCATGTAGTAACACTCATTTTAATTAAGTAACCTAAACTATAAAGAATAAAATTTTGAATCTTTCATTAAGTTAGGTTTGAAAATTTCTAATGTTTTGTTCTAATGTAATGTATACTTTTAAAATGGACAATAATTCAAGTATTAATCCGCGAAAATTTCATGCTGCCTAATTTAGACTAAGTAAACTAAGTATTTTTTTATACCTTAGCAGCTCAGTTAGAGCTGTTATTTTTTAATGTACAATGAATTAAATATAGCTAACTCTTGCCAAATTAATGCAAATTAATATGAAACTTTGTCTTTTTTTCTAAGTTATTTAGAACAATTTATGTGTTTCGTTTTTTGCTTGATTGTTTCGATTACTTCAATAGTATGAGTCTAATTTCAGGAATTTAATTGCAGTTTGAGGTGACTATCATGCTCTTAATGCCAAGACGGCTACTAATAATTACCCATTAAAGGACATATATGATTGATTTCTTTGACAAAAATTAGTAAATGTGAATTCTCTGCACTGGATCCAAAAAAGCTTTTTATTTCCGGCCTATAAATAACAAAGATATCTGTAGAAAGCTGCCATTATAACGCTATTTAGTTTATTAGAATTCAATTACTTGATTTTCGGTTTAAGGAATTAGGCAAAGATTGCTAGACAGAATTTCGGAAATCTTGGATTACTGTTTTATAATATATAGATGACATTTGGATAGCTTCCTCTTCTATCCAAGAGCATCTAGAACACCTTCGAGAAGTTTTTGAACGCTTATGAAAGTATGACTTAAATCAATTTAACTAAATGTACTTTTTGAAATGGTAAAGTATTTTTTGAAAGGTCAGTTGAAAACGAAGGCGTAACATCTTTACCCGAAAAAATTGTAGCTTTAGAAAATCTTCTCAAACCATCTAGCGTGACTGAATTATGCCAATTTCTAGGAATACCTAGTTTTTATTGTCTAGTTTTTTTTTCCCGTTTGTACGCAAAGCTGCTGAAAAAGCATTAACTCTATATAATATGCTCGGCAGTGGAGTAAAAAACGATGAAACTCATTTTACTTGAACTGTAGGAGTATGACTAGGAGAGTATGCTTTCGGCCATGTTAACCATCGTGTATCAAGAGGTACTTCAAAAGAGAATCAAGTTAACATGTGTAATATACTAGGGGATTGGTATTTAATAATAGTATTAGTGGTAGTTACGCCACATTACTCCTCCACCAGAATTTTATCTATGACAGAATTCGATGAAACGAACACCTTTAGTTGGCTAAGGTTGTTCATTTTTTTCTATTTATTTTTCTTCTCTGATTATTTTTTTTCATTTTTTCCTTTTTTCTTGTTATTGACATAGAGAATTGTATTTACTTCACCGGAGTTTCATTATAGAATTTATCTTACTTCCACAACTGCTTTACACAGTATATAGTTATCCCATGAATTGTATAAGTACATTTTTTTGAATTTCTTAATTAGTTAGAATTGTAGGAAATAAAGTAGCTAATGTGATGTATCTACAGCCACTTGAAAAATTCAATCTACCAGCTATTTCACGACTCAACTAGTTATTCTAATTAGAAATTCAATTAATTTAATAGCTAGCGAATATAGGAAATTATTTAGTTTGAGAATTTCTATTAAAGAAAATTTCAAATAAGTATGTTTTCTAAGAATAGAAAAACTCAGAATGTTAAAAATATTAATTTATTACAAAATTCATTTAACTGTTTAAATATCTTGTGGTGTAAGTTGATGTTTTGTAAAACTAGATACGAGATTCCGCAGTTACTATTATAATTTATCTAATTTAATCAATTATTTTAGGAAATAACATATATTCTATGAAATAGTTGAATCACAGATTTTACTTTTTAATATCACCTCTTAATACACTTTTTTTGTTATTACTTATTTTCCTTATTATGACATATTTTTATTATTATTACTTATTTTTATTGTTACTTATTCTATTATAATTACTTATTTTTATTATAACTACATATTTTTATTATAACTACTTAGTTTTATTATCATTTGCTTACATATTTTTTTAGCATGACTGGCAAAGGGAATATATACCTGAAAATATGACCGAAGTGGATTAAATTCTATTAAGAGTTTTGAAATTTCAAAATGTGACACTAAATTAGAAACACCTTGCTTCTAATGAATACACGATGAAAGCTAAATAGTTTTCAAGACGGTTTTCGTTGAATTAAACTCCTTTATGGTTATATAGTTAAATATGTATTATTTTCAATAAACAGATGAAAAATTAATTTTAGGAAATAAGAAAGAATTACAGAAATTACAGAATAACAGAAAGAAAATCAGATAAGTGGTGCGTTCTGTTCAAGAAATAAGTAGTTTAATTCTCGCCGAATTTCAAAAACAGTTTCAAAGTTCGTTAACAGTTTTCACTGATGAGGGGGAAAATACTCGATCAATGTTTTTAAAACAACACCCCTATTTGCAACTACAACGTTTTGATGACCAGAGTTATGAGTCATGAAAAGTTCTGCCATCATCATTTCTAAAACAATATTTTATAGTTTTTCAGGAAGCCAGACAGATTTTGTTAATGAATTTTACAGTAAAAGAGTTTCTCTTCAGTTTGGGTTAAACAGCTTTTTTTTCCTACTTGTTTGTCTTGAGCTTTCTTCTGTCATTCTGTGCTTAGACTCTGATGAAGGTTACTGGTAAAGTATCTCTAGAGGTTCGTTTAAAAATATAATAACTGAAATTTTAAAAGAAATTTTAGGATCGGGAACTAAAATTTTCTTTGCACCTGCTTTTCAAATTTCTGATTCGCAGAGCAGACTGTTTTAAAGTTATGAAATAGGCAAATAGCGCAACCCGAAATCTTTTGCATTATTAGAATAGATATGACGTTAATGTCAATTAATATTTATTTCTAAGGATTAAAAATTCGGAATAACTTGTGGGAGTTAACTACGGTACATAACTTACTCCATAAAAGTATGATTTAAAATATTTGTCGAAAATTAAGTTTAAAAAAGTATAAACAATAGAATTCTGAATGGAATAAACTACAGGGAATTAAAAACGTTATCAGAATTCATCACTTCAGGGATCACCTTGAAGACTCCTACTATATAAAAGTGAAATCAATACCTTTTGATATTTTCAAAAATGAAAATTAAAAATGCATTTGTTGCATGCTGAATTTTTATAACTGTAATAAAACAACACGCAGTTTTTTGAACAAACAAATTTGGAAACCACGTTGTCACCATTGTGCATCCTGATTTAATTCTAATGCTGACAACATTCAGCTTACTATACAAATAAGGTAAATAAATAAAAAAAAAGGTGAAATGTCATTTGCAAATACAAATAATCTTTTCAATTTTTTTTTGATAAACAA